AGGGCCAATAGGCCTTTCTTGGCGGGGGTGTGTCGGAAAGGGTGAATTGGCGGGATTCGTTAGCAGATTCACCCTCGGGCACTATCGACCAAATCTTTGCGGCATGTTCAGGGCCTTGGACATCGCGCTGAAGAGCTTCCGCGAGCTGCGCATCCGAAGAATCAATAGGCTGGTGACCGAGTTGTGCATGATTCGCCAGTTGCGTATCGTAGTTATCCCAGGGAGAGGTGTTGCCTGTCGATTGAACGCTGATACTCCGCTCCGGGACTGCCGAATATGCTTGCCTAGCTTTCCTAGCCGCTGCATCCGCTTCCGATGTCGATTGCATATGACTCGCGCCATTCGGGCCAGCGCCTTGAATTTGAGGATTGGGTTGGGGAACAGGACTCGTAGAAACGCTGTGGTTTTCCTGGTACGAGGATGGAGAAGTTTGACCCGATTCTGAACGCTTTCGCTTATTTCGATTTGTATTGGGGGATGATAGCCCATCGGAAGCGACGTAGGTGGGTTCGGGATCCTGGGTTGAGGGATTTGCGGATTCTCCGGGTTGTTCTGGTTGGTGGGACGGCGTCACGGAATTCCTTGAAGCGCGATCGCGCTCCGTGGGGGCATTCACGGATGGTTCTTCGTTATGAGCTGCAGTGGAATTGTTCTCAGTCGGCCCGGTATAACTAGGATTGCTGTTATTGGTATTGTTGCTGTTGCTATTGCTATTGCTGTTGTTGTTGTTATGAGAAGGCAGCGAACCCTGGTCTCTCCCATTTACAGCGGTGAACCGTGACGGGCTATGTTCAGGGTTGGAGTCTTTACTGGAATCATGGTTTCCATTAACCGCTGGGACGGATGCGACAGCGGACATTTTTTCGGTGTAGTAGCAGAGCTTGCCCGATGGAAGGATCCGAGTCGAAAGGAAATGAGGGGAGATAGGTGGTATCACGCCAATGAATATTTCGATAGATGCTCGAGATAAGATTGACGGGATGAAAGCGATCCAAGAGGGGCGGATGTTAACTTGTCGTCGTCAGATCGTTTCCAAACAGCTGGGACGTGTGGTGGTTGTGGTGGTGGTTGGCGCTTCGAAGTTTCCGATGTATACGCAAAGCCAACACACACAACACTATACTGAGAACGGAACAACAGAACATACAACCAACAACCAGGCTTGAGAAGGAGTGCTCTTGACGCAAAATGAATGTGAGTGAAAAGTGAAGATTGGAGGGGAGAATTGAAGAAACACTCGCGGGGAGGAGGGAGAAAAGTCTGGGCGCGTGGGTTCGGACAGGATATTTCCCAACCTCGATCGGGAGAAGAACCAGGAATAAGGAAAAATAAAAGCACGGCAAAGCACAGCACAGCACAGCACAGCACAGTTGACGCAATGGCGGACGGAATGGATTGTTGGGGGAGGAAGCGTGGTTTGGAGCAGGACAAGGACAAGATCTATTCGCGGCACAGCGAGACGAGAGAGGCGCCAGACAAGCGATGAAGCGAGGAGGGCCGGACACGGGGAACGAGACAGGGAACATGCACGAGAACAGGAACGAGAACAGGAACGGGGGCGGGAAACGGGCGAATATCGAGCGCAGGAGTCGAGGAGGCAAGGAAGTAAGGAAACAAGCAGGAAAGAGGCAGAAGGGGAGAAGGGGACGAGGAACAGGCAGAGCGCATGGGAAAAGCGGGAAAAGAGGAACGCAGATAGCGGGTTTCCTCCTCCGGCGCTTCTGACTACGCTTGACGCACTACGGACTACTGCGACTACGCACTACTGCTGCGACCACTACCAATACTGCTAGCTACTACCATTGCTGCTACTGCTGCTGCTACCCCCCAGAGAGCGGCTACTCTTGCTGGTGCTCACTGGGTATGATGGCCGACCGGCTTCCTGGCCTGGGCGTTACATGGCGGTAAGTGCCAGTCACACAGCCCCCGACGCTGCCGGCGCTGGTTGGCCGCCGGGCAGTAGCAGTCGCAGCCCGTGGGCGGCTGGGTGGGTGGGGACGGGCGTCTGTATCGTTTCGTTTCGGCTGTCGCTTGCGCCAGGGATTGGCCGCCGCTGCCCAGGCCCATGGCTGGGCGGCGGGGAGCGGGGGTTCGTGTCGAAGCCCTGGGGCGGCCTTACGACTCGTAACTAGTAACTAACCCTGAGTCGCGGATTCGCAATGCCTGCGTACTGGACAAGGATCAGGATGTCTTGTTCCCTGAGTCACCTTTTTGCTCTCGAACCAGGTGCCTCAGCTCACCCTGGCAGCGTCTGCGCTAGACCTGGAGGTTTCATCCTGGGATTACTCTGTACGGGTATGTATGCATCTGTATTGGTGTATGTACCGTATCGTCACGTATTCCCAGTCAGTTTGTCGCTGCGGTTTTTTCAACTATCCAGCCACAACGGAATGAACAATAGCGGAGATAGTAACAACAACAATAAGAAGAAGAAGAAAAAGAAGAAGTAGAAGCAGAAGAAAAGGAATGAGAATGAGAGCTACAAAGGCTGATAACTGCGAGCCTTACAATCGCACCCGGCACAACAAGGGCTAATCTGATCTACTATGGTATAACCCTGAATTTTCGTTAGGGTCACCCTAATATTTAAGTGCTCTGCTAACCAAAATATTGGGGGGTGGATTTCACTGGATGAGTAATATATTATTAATACACAACCTTCTTTGTGTACCACAACAACATAAGGATTTTTTTTATAATAAAAGGTAGAGATGGGATATATGCTATACACACAGTATAGATGTTCAATTTTCAGTACCCCAAAGGTTCAATTATGGATCATCAAGAACCCGCGTAAATTGAAACGCGAAAAAACCACGATGACCCCCCAATATTGTGGTTAGCATGGCACTAAAATATTAGGGTGACCCTAACGAAAATTCAGGGTTATACCATAGTATCCGTTGAAACTGGGGGGTTAATTCAGGAATCAGGATCTAAGCGCGACAATAATACTCAAATTGTGGGA